TGGCACTTCATTTACCTGGAATGCACCGCGTTCTTTTTAATCCTGATGAATCATTAGAAGCAATTGTTTCAAGAGCTGGCCAACAAATGTCAACTCTTACTGGTTTTTTTGCATGTTGCACTTATATGGAAGATGAATGTCCATTCACTTACCAAGAATTTCCACAACAGTTTATTTGGCTTAATTCAAAAAATAGATGGAAACCAAGGCAGCAGGGCTATGCAATCGGTAGAATGTACTTTGCTAACCCTAATTGTGGTGAGCGATTTTATTTGCGTTTGCTATTAACTATTGTCAAATGACCAAAATCGTTTCAATGCTTACGCACAGTCAACAATATTTTGCATGATACGTTTAAATCAGCATGTGTTGTAAGAGGATTTTTAGAAGATGATAAAGAATGGATACAATGCCTTAAAGAGGCTACAGTTATGAAAACTGGTTATCAATTAAGGAGATTATTTACTTTTATTCTTACTCAGTGCTCTCCACTGCAACCATATGCTTTGTGGAATCAATTTTTAATGCATATATGTGATGATCTTGCACATAAGATTCGAACATTGTTTGCCATTTCTGAACCTACTGAGGCTCAAATTGAAGACTATGGTCTATATCTTTTAAATCAAATGCTCCAAGAATCAGGAAAAAATTTAATTGACTTTCCGCAAATGCCACAACCTTCTACAACTTTGAAAACCTCTGCTCTCAGGTCTTACTACAAAATGCAATCCTCGCTCGATCGAAGAAACCCTGGCTCGAGCGACGGACCAAAACAAAGAGTTCGCTCGAGCGAATAACTGCTCGCTCGAGCGAAGGGTCAAAATTCTGGACAGCAACCCTTTGCTCCCAAGCCCAACCAACCTGCTACAAACCTGCCCATTGCATCCTCCAACTCAGAAATAGGAAAATAAAGGACGGTAACAATCAAAATACAATGGCAGGAGCAACGGAACCTAAGTCCGAATACAATAAACAAATGGGAAAAGACCGGGGTCGCTATAAAATTACTCAATAAATTCTCACTAAATTGATGAGAAAATTAATGGTACATTCTCAATAAATTCTCTGTAAATTGCTTTGTCAATTCTCAGAAAATTACTCAGTGAATTTCAAGTAAACTCAGTGAATTCTGATTAAATTGCTAGTAAATTCTTAGAAAATTGCAAACAAAATTGTCTGTAAATTACTCAGTAAATTCTCAACAAATTACTCAGTCATTTCTCAGTAAATTACGTGGTGAATT